ACATTTTTTTGTAGAGCGACATTAAAATCATTGCTGTTCCGTATGGATGAACCTTTAAAAAATTCCTTTTAGTGGATAAGATAGAGAATTGGAAGCATAACAATCTGGCAAAAAAAGAAATTAGCTTTATCTACTGTGTAAGCCGAAAAGGCCCAATCAAAATCAAAAAAATCGATTTTCGCACTGAATGTAGAGCGACATTATAAATTTTGTGCTTGCTATAACTCAATAAAACCTTATCTATTTTAAACAAAAATTGGTGTATTTTTCAGTCTTATGGAGTAGAGTAATATCCCAAAAAATCAAGCAAAGATCTTTTTTCGTTTGTCAGAAAACTTAGTTTTACTTTGAAAATGTAGAGCGACATTTTTCGGAATATTTCTCCCTCAAAACTGAACGACACATAAACATATCATGAAGTGTCGGGAAAATAGTATTTCTATAGACAGTCGACATAGCTCTATCAAATGTAGCACTAAGTTTTTTTCCATGAACAACTTTATTTATTTCGATTTTTTTTCTCAAACGGTACAATGATTGTGCCCTTCGCTCATATATGTTGCATTATATGAAAAAAATATTGTACAAAAAAGTGCAAATATGTATGATATTTCAAAAAAGTAGAGGAAGACTAGATTTTCTGATGTACCACGTAGGAAAATATACCATGGAATTGGAGTTGCATATTTTATTATACTGTGAGACCATCTTAGTGCTAAGGCTTCTAATTCTTTACTCATAACAACATTTTGGAAAAACTCAGCCTCGGAATATGGTTCTTTTACTGTTTATGTATCGATGTGTAAATATGAAGAAGCATGCCTATGAAAAAATTTACTTTAGAACTATATAAATACAGTGAAAAAATAACTTTCAAAACCGTTCTTTTTTCAGACTTCTGCAAAAAAATTCGAAACGCGTTCCCTTTTCAGGAATAACTTTTGTGGAACAACTTTTGAACTTTTGGAATTTCAGGAACAACTTTTAAGAGGCTTAGATCTCTCCAGTGCTTCTTTAAGTGATGAAAAATGTTTGAGTGATTTAGTTCTCAAGTACGCCGATCTATTCACTTCACAACCGGGACGTACTAACATCATTAAACATCACATTGATGTTGGTGACGCTAAACCAATTAAACAGCAACCTTATCGTGCTCTGCCTCCACGTAGAGACTATATCACTCAAGAGCGGATTCAAATGCAAGAGCAAAATATAATTGAACCCTCTATTGGACCTTGGGCAGCTCCAGTTACATTGCAGCTGAAGCGAGACGGAACGATGCGTTTTTGCATTGATTTTCGTCGACTGAACGCAGTCACTGTTCGGGATGTCTATCCCTTGCCACGGATAGATGATACTCTCGATGCTCTACACGATGCCCAATTCTTTAGCACATTAGATTTACGCTCAGGATTTTGGCAAGTAGAACTCGATGAAGAAAGTAAAAAGAACACGGCTTTCGTGACTCACGAGGGATTATTTCAATTCACCGTGGTGTCGTTTGGATTAACTAATGCACCAGCTACATTTCAACGTCTGATGGATTTGGTTTTATCGGGGCTGAAATGGCGTTGTTGCTTAGTTTACCTAGATGACGTTATCATCTACTCTTCTACTTTCGATCAGCATTTGAAGGACATTGATGATGTCTTGGGTAGATTAAGTGGAAGCAATCTTACTTTAAAGGCATCTAAATGCCATTTTTGTCAGAAGGAGCTTCGCTACTTAGGACATATAGTCAGTGCCGATGGTATACGTCCAGATCCGGAAAAATTACGATCAGTACGTGATTTTCCGGTTCCGTTCAAAGTTAAAGACGTACGTTCATTCGTCGGATTAACCGGATATTATCGCCGGTTTATCAGGAGTTATGCTACCATCGCGGAGCCTCTTTTAAATTAATTCACGTTAAGCATTCACCAATTTTCGTTTGGGCACCAGAGTGCCAGGATTCATTTGAAGAGTTAAAACAAAAACTCATAACTAGCCCGTAATTTCGTATCCAGATTTTAATTATCCATTCATATTACAGCTGGATGCAAGTGATTGCGGTCTAGGAGCCATATTAGCCCAAAAAGTACTTCCCGAAGGAGATGAACACGTTATCGTTTATGCTAGCCGCACGTTAAGTGAAACAGAACGTAAATATTACCCTACTGAGCGGGAATGTTTAGCAATTATTTGGGGCACTCAACACTTTCGTCCATATTTGGAAGGAAGGCCGTTTGTAGTGTGGACTGATCATAAGTCTCTAGTATGGCTTCGTAATTTAAAAGATCCAACCAGCAGGTTAGCGCGCTGGGGCATGAAATTACACGCTTACGACATGGTAATAAAACACCGTTCTGATGCGGCTAATCAGAACGTTGATACTTTATCACGTTACCCTGTACAATCAGAAGTCGTAGCGTCGCTCCAAACAAAGACGCTGAATGACGCTCTCCAGTTATCCAATGATGTTAAAGATCGGCTGACGGGTATTAACATCTGGGATAGCTGCAGTGTACTTGGTAATATAAAAGAAGCGCAAAGGAACGATAAGAATTTGCGACTTCTGATTGATTATCTGCATGATGGAATATTACCATCGAATGAGAATATTTCGAAGAAACTGCGTGGAATCGCAAAATATTATAAAGTAATTGATGGTAGACTTTTTCGCCTACGACGTTTTGACGAAGAGCAATCAAACCGTTTCAATTATAGTCAAAATTTATTAGTAATACCAAAATCAAAAATTATGGATTTACTACATTTTGCTCACGATCACGCAGTTTCAGGACACTTCGGCAGGCGGAAAACTCTACATCGTTTAACTTCTCGCGTTTATTGGCAGGGAATGCGAAAGGATGTAGAGAATTATATCCATGCATGTGATGCATGCCAGCGTTTTAAAGCTAATACTCAAAAGCTTGC